TGCTAATCCAATTGATAATAGTATCATTGAAGAAATCAACAACATTCATATGAGTGAAACCATTTTATATTTTACATTTCATTATACTTCAATCGATTAATACTGAGCTTTTTGAAATTATTTTCGACCGATGACAATCAACTGACATCAATAACAATCAGCGTTCTTTGTTCACATAGAGGACCTCTCATAATTATTCACTCGTGCTTATTTTCAATTTTTTGCACTACCGTTAATGTTAAGATAACTGATATACACAAAGAAATTAAAAACAAATCTTTCTCTAATTCAGTTTTGAAGAATTTATATCCAAAGTTTTGTTAGAGTCTACCAATCTTGATAATAATGCAACTATGGGTGAAGATGATACTTGGAGCAAGACGCTTGCTGATCCATGTAGACTCTTGAACTTCAATGGATACTGCTCAATGATGATACATTGACAAATAAATGGTATTTTAGGGGAGGCTTCGACAATCGAAATCTGTTAAAGCTCTCCAGTATCTAAAAAGGTTTTGATTTCATTTGAATTCGCAAAAAACTATTTTCACTTTATATAATACTTTTTTCAGTAAACCTTAGCGTATTGTTCAAATAAATGTCTTCTATAGAAAATAGAAATTTTGAATGATTTTTAAACATATTTGCGTCCTGAACTGTACTAATAAGAATCCGTACAATTGTATTAAGTGCAGATTCTTATTCATCACGAGAGTGTTAGAAAATGAAAAGCCATGCTAGTTTTGAATGATACAATCTCTAAAAAAACAACAGCACGAACCGAGTTTTTTCATCTAATATAATTCTCGAATACAATTTTGATTGAATCCCTCAAGAAGATAGAGCAAAACGATTCTGAACAGGGTGTGTGACAGTGAAGACGCCATCCACGTCCACACTCATTCTGATTCTCGATCAATGTCATAATTTTTGTTAGGCTCTCTTTATCGATCGAATAGTGATAGAAAGGGTTTTTCTTCAAAACTTTTGATCCACATTTTAAGATTCAACAATAAACTATTTGAGAGCAGTGTAAGAATGAAGATATATCCCAAGTGGAAACTTCACTAACATCAAAAGCAAGATAAGAAAAAAAAATTCAGTGAATAAAAAATAGATTTACCAACTATGACTCAGGATGCATACTCTTGAAGATAAAGCACGACATGAACAGTTAGTTTTTACTTTAATGTATGTTTACCTGTAGTAATATATTTAGTAAGTAAAAATGTTTTTCAATTTTTACTTTATTCACATTATTAGCACTCCCATCAAAAGCAGAAGGAAGAGAATGGAATTAACCTTTTTTTTTTTTTTTCGTTCTGACCAGGAGAACGAAATTCGCTGTAAATGGAATCAAAGAAATATAAAGAGTCTGTGTTACCAGCGTATGCAGCGTAATAACACTTCAATCATTGTACAGATGAAAAGCAAACGAAAGTTGGAGAGAATAACAAAAAAATAAATGATGTTGTTGGGTTTTTTCTCTTTCGTTTGTTGTTTGCATTTCTGTTTTTCAATTGAAACTCAAATTTGACGTCGTAAAAAAATCTAGATAAAAAAAAACAGAAGGCAGCGACTATAGGGTATGAAATTTCTCTTTGAGATTCTTTTCCACTCCGACACAAATCTTTAACATTTCATTTGACACAGTTCCATATCCCAATCATTGAAACTGAAGTTTAAACTATTCTTTATATAAATCTTATTTAAACCAATTGAACGTTGCCTAGTTGTCATCCTTCTTCTAACCAGTAGTATTACTCTTTCTGTTTAGCAGGCACAAACGTAATTAAAGGTTTTTTCTTATCAAGAATCTTACGTTGCAAAATTAGTATCTGCTTAGTATCGACAAACTATCATTCTTGCAAACGTTTAACAGTTATATGTCTTGTGAATTGATTTTACGGCGTGCTTGATCTTCTCAATGGCCTTTTAGTCGAGAACTAATGTCCAGAGTTTTAAAAACTCCGATAGTATATGAGGGTCTCTTTCGTAAAAGAGATCGACCATCTCTCATCAAAAAATGATTTTTTATACCATTGTTTACTTATGTTAATAGAGGACATTCTACCAATATTCGAATGATATTCCATAATGTCTTCTCGTAGTTAGAGTCCTTTGCTTTGGAGAGATCTTAAATTGTGCACATGAATGTTGTATTTCTATGGCAACATCCCCTATAGACATTTTATTGCTTTCGAATCTTAATCAAAATAAATGAATACTGTGTCGTTCATCACTTTGATTATTCTTGATTTCTGATTAATCATCGACTGCTTTTTTAGTTCACTGTAACCAACTAGTAGATACGGATTGCCTATGAACTACGGCTTGAGACCCGATTCCACTGACGTACCCATATGAAGGTATATGCGGAATGAACTATGAAGTCTCTCTATCATATTCATTTATAGATATAAGCGAATCAGCTTCATCATCAACAATGTAGTTGCCAACTAAAAATAGAACTAGAGTTTTAAACTATATTTATTCTCAGTTCAAGTTTCGGAAATATCGTTCTTTCGTTTATTAGTAGTCTATTCTATATCATTCTCTTTCTCAATTTTTCAATATAAACATTTTTTCAAATAAAAACTCCTGAAAAAACTCTTAATAATCGTTCGATTTTAACAATCTTTCAACGCAATGTTTATCATACTTAGTCTATAGATTTTTGCAACATTCAATGGTTTTGAATCAATACCATGGAGGGACGAAATTGATGTAATGTAATGAACAATTTTGAATTGTTTTTAATGTATTTTGATTGATTGAAACTCGTCAATAGAATAACAAAAAAAACTCTTGATAAGATGCAAACACATGAAAAGAAAGAAAAGAAGAAAAATGCAATATAGCGTTGCTGCAGCACAATAATAAAAATTCATCAGTTTGTTTTTTTGTTTCGTTCGTTCATTGTTAATGTACTTTTTTGTTGATCTTTCATATTTGTTATAATTGCATTTACAGAAGAAACCCAAAAGAACCATGCGATCAACGTTACAGTCACTTTTTTACTTTCCGGCACAGATTTGTATCTTTGTGCAAAGAGGCGCGGGATGTGCTACAGTGATAAAGGCTTTTTTGTGACTTCTGAATTAAGAAGAGTGTGAGTTTGACTGCTGGACTCCTGTTCATCCATACCCACATCTAAACCCATATGAAACGGCTAAGGTTCATAAATGCAACTATGAGATAAAACTTTGGTTTGCTTGCTATATATCCGACTCCACTTAGACAACTCGCAATCGCTCCAGTAATCACAGAGCACAGTAGATATTACTGAGCGTTAAGCACGATACAAACGATTCTTTCCTATTCGAATCACCAGTTAATGATTTACAGTATATTTGACAAAAATAAAAATTGTTGTTTCGTTCACATTATCAGAATATTTATTACAAGCAGAATGAAAAACATCGAACTGACGATGTCTTCGTTATTTTTTTTTTCGTCGCTGCCAGAAAGAGAAAAACTGTTGTTCTGAAAGAATGAAAGAAAAATAAACAATGAATGAGACAAGGTATTCAATGCAATGACACTCAATTCATTATACAGATGAAAAGCAAACGAAAGTTGGAAAGAATAACAATAGAATAAATGACGCTGTTGGATTTTTTTTCTGTTTCACTTGTTGTTGACAACCATATTTTCAACTGAAACTAGGTGAAGTTCGTTGATAAGTGTCAACGAAAAAACATACACATATTTCACGTCGTAGAAAAATCTAGAAAAAAAACAACAGGTATCGACTGTAAAAACAAAAAAGGTGCTCTCTTTATAAATAAAAACCAATTTTTTAACGTTTTGAATTAATAAGCAATATCTTATAAAGAATTTCAGTGAAAAAAACATCCAAGCAAAATATTTCCAAATCAGTCATGAGTGCTGCTGCTGGAACTACAAGATCTTCAGTTGTTGCCAGCCGACCAAAACAAGGTCGGCTTCAAAATTATTTGCTGATCTGGGTCGATGGCAACATCGACGAAAACAACAAAGATTGTGCAAACACACTGACCAAATTGCGCAGTGTCGTCAGAGAGGTGAATCTCTGTACGACGCCAGCGCAATGTATCAAATTTCTTAATGATATGGATAACGAGAAGGCTTTCGTTATCTCGTCTGGAGCATTAGGACAGCAACTCGTTCCAGAAATTCATGACTTGCCACAAGTGGACGCAATTTACATCTTTTGTGGCAATAAAACAAGACACGAAGCATGGGCGAAAGACTGGGCAAAGATTGAAGGTGTTTTCACCTCAATCGAGCCCATTCTCAAATCGTTGAAAAAGGTCGCCCACAACTGCGATCATGATACAATGCCGATGAGCTTCGTTCCGAAGCGAGTGACGGCTGCAGCAGCAACGTCTAATGAAGAAAATCTCAACCAATTGGAACCGTCGTTTATGTATTCAGTACTATTCAAAGAAATTATATTGGAAATCAATGAAGACAATGCTAAGCCGCTGAACGATTTGGTTGTCTATTGTCGTAGCAAAGGTATTCCAGACAACGAATTAAAGGACTTTCAAAGGACATATCACCAGAAATCACCCGTCTGGTGGTATACATGTGAAATGTTTGTTTATGGCATGCTCAACTGCGCCTTACGATCATTGGACATGGAAGCGATGACAAAAATGGGCTTCTTCATCCGAAATCTTCATCAGCAATTAGAGCAACTGCACAGAGAACAGTCAGGTACTTATATGAAAAAATTTATTGTTTATCGGGGTCAAGGGCTTAGCAAAGAAGACTTTCAGCACCTAGTCGACACGGAAGGAGGACTGCTGTCGTTCAACAATTTTTTGTCGACTAGTACAAAACAACAGGTCGCCGTGGAATTTGTTCAACGTGCCATGCACAAGAATAAAGACATCGTGGGTGTTCTTTTCATCATGACAATTGATCCAAGTAAAATTTCAGCTTCAACTACTCCATTTGCCCTCATCGACAAATACAGTGCTATCAAAAGTGAAGAAGAAATTCTATTCTCAATGCACAGTGTTTTTCGTGTCGATGATATCAAGCAGGCAGTCAGCAACAGTCGTCTATGGGAAGTTCAATTAAGTCTCACAGGCGACAATGATCCACAATTGGCTACTCTTACTGAACGCATAAAATGGGAACTCTATGGATCCACAGGATGGCACCGATTGGGTGATCTAATGCTCAAGGTGGGTCACTTCAATCATGCTGAAGACCTTTACAACGAATTACTGAAGAACTCGTCCAGTGATAGTGATAGAGCAAGGATTTATCACCAGCTTGGAATGACGAAACATCACCAAGGACAATATAAAGAAGCAGTTTCATTTTATGAAAAAAAACTTGAAATCGAGCGAAAAACTCTACCGGAAGATCATTCTTCATTGGCTCCTACCTACGCTAACATTGGTGCAGCGTATAACAACATGGGTAACTACTCGAGAGCACTTGAATTTTACGACAAATCACTTAAAATAAGCGAAAAATCTCTGCCTCCGAATCATCCCTCATTGGCTACTTCCTACAACAACATCGGTTCGGTGTATGACGACATGGGTAACTACTCGAAAGCACTTGAATTTTACGACAAAGCACATCAAATCTTCGAAAAAACTCTGCCTCCGAATCATCCCTCATTGGCTACTTCCTACAACAACATCGGCATGGCGCATGACAACATGGGTAACTACTCGAAAGCACTTGAATTTTACGAAAAAGATTTAGAAATAACGAAAAAATCTCTGCCTCCGAATCATCCCGATTTGGCTAGTTCCTACAACAACATCGGTGGAGTGTATACAAAGATGGGTAACTACTTGAAAGCACTTGAATTTTTCGACAAATCACATAAAATCTTCGAAAAATCTCTGCCTCCGAATCATCCCTCATTGGCTACTTCCTACAACAACTTCGGTGAAGTGTATAGAAACATGGGTAACTACTCGAAAGCACTTGAATTTTACGAGAAATCACTTAAAATCTATGAAAAATCTCTGCCTCCGAATCATCCCTTATTGGCTACTTCCTACAACAACATCGGTACGGCGTATTACGGCAAAGGTGATTACCCAAAAGCACTTTCATATCTAGAAAAGGCACTTGCCATCTGTCAAAAGTCACTTCCACCAACACACCCTAATATTAAAGACATGATAGATAACATTAACTCTGTCAAAAAGAAAATGTAACTGTGTTGTTTTTTCTTCTCGATTCCTCAATAAATTGATTTCAATTGCTATTCACCTCAGTGCCTGGCTTTTCTCGGCTCATTTTCGCGTATACGCGCGCGACCAGGGATACCCCATGTAAGCCCGAAATGGGTACACGCAGAGCGGACCGCGCTGGACTGGTAAGGTAATGATCATAGGTGTGACGTACGTAAACGGCGACAGGGACCTACGAACAGACGGCCTTCCCGAATACTCCACTGCTTTCGCCAACATAGGCACAAGAGATCTCCCTGGGTCAGATTACGAAGCCATCTGACGGGCTGTGATATAACTTAATACCTCACTCTACTACTACAACAAAGAAAAACAAAAAATATTCCATCTGGAATAGATTACATGTCTACCTTATCAAAAAAATAACTTGAAAAGTTCTATTGGCCATTAGAACTTTTCAAGTTATTTATATTTATTCGCATCTCAATAAGCAAAAAAAAGACTAAATTTAGTTAGTAACTGTCTTATCTCTCTATTCTCCTTCTATATAAAAAAAACTATAGCAACATACCCGATTTGATATTGAAATATATAAAACATTACGTAAGTTAATAATACATGTTAACATTCAAATTTGGAACATTGTAAATAATGATACGGTACCGTATGATTGTATAAATTTCATTATCATAATTATGTTTCAATAGAATGATTTCATACAAGAAAATCATTCCTTATATATGTTTGAGACATGAACTTTTAGTCAATGACGTTACAGTGTTATTTTTTTTCTCCACCAATTAAAAGATTGATAATCGAAAAGAAAACCATTCATTCTCATGAACTCAATAATTGATGAAATGATCATTGTCATCTTTGTTTTCGTCGACGATCAATTCATCATATATGTACTTATTCTCTTTACACTATAGACCAGCACTCAAGTAGATGATTGACAAATCATCTATTTCAAAATACAACATAATACAATGTTATCATTATTGAAAAACAGTTTTTTATTTAAAATATTCTACTTTGAATAAAAATTGATCTACAACATTTAAACAATTTGTTCGTATTCAATCAACAGTAAGAAAGAAAAAGAATCATTGATGAACTAGATGATTCTAGTTTTTCGTGTCTAAACAAGGACAAATAAGAAAGTTAAAATGAAAAAAAAAGAGAATAGAAATAATATATTCATAAGACTTTTATATAATAATCGAATAGAACGGAATTATTTTATTTTATTTTATTTTTTTATTAAATCATCTAGTAAATTATATTAAAATTAATTTAATTTCTACAATACTAGAGCTTTCAACAGATAGTAACAAAATTATATTGAGTTTACTACAATCTGTTAAATGATTTACTACAAGATAAAATAAAATTGTTTCATTTTATTATATTATGAAAAAAAAAAAGAATCAAACATGTAAATTTTGTAAGAATCAATACAATATATTTAAGATTTGAACATATTCGACTTGTAAATCCATTTTTCATTTTTGTCGAAAAAATTCTTCTGTTATGTTATATTGACTTCCAGATGTTGTAAGACTAATATCAAGTTGATCAAGATTCTTTATTGATTTCACTCAAAGAATATCAAATGAAATTCACACGTAAAGTATAAACAAATCTCATAGGTTTAACTTTATCGTATATCCTCTATTTTTTCTACATAAAAATTTGTCGATAAAATATGAAAATAAATTCATAATTTCAAACATTCAAGTTATGTTGATAAATTACTAAAAACACCGAATATCTGTTCAATAAGGAAACAATAGATGTGTGAATTGATTAATCCGCTACACTCTAGTTTTTGTTACGGTAATTTATTCACGCTAGTGATCATTGGAAAAATAAAGACTTGACAAAAAAATGTTGCTGTAGGTTTTCTTTAAAGTTGCCCAAGAACCGTCGTAGAGAGCTTGGAAACGTCTCATTTGATAGAGAATTACTTGCTCAGATATTACACGTAGTGAGAGTAAATTTTATACCGCTGATTTATAGATGCTTTTTGAAACTTTCAAATAATATTGATATTAATCGTCGTGATGATCGTCATTCTATACATCTCTATCGTGTATCTCTCTGCTATGGATATGAAAACATTTTATTAAAAAAAAGTAACTTTTTATTTATCAATAATTTATAATTATCACTCAAATTAACAAGAAAAAGAGTAACACATTAAGGTTCAGATGCTCTTATTATATCTTAAGAGCAAAAATTGGAAATAGTTATATGAATCGATATCGATGTTAAATCGATTGAAATAAAGTTAAAAACCAAGAGAAGTGATGATGAATTCGAATTTTATGTTTAGAGTATTGTACGCATAGGTTTTCTCTTCATATCCTCATTCACACCTTTTCACTACCATGTCTGAAAATGATTTCATTCCAATTATCCAAATGATTAATTCATTAATCGACATTGACAGCTTTGAACCAGATTTTACAGTCAAGTGAAACTCGAATACCATCTAGTCAATTATAAATGTTTTATGCAAAATAAATTGATTTTCTACATTCTTCTGTAAAAAATTAATTCAACAAATTTTGAATGATGTAAAAGAAACAACTGTTCGATTTAAACATTGAAAGCAGTAAGTTAACTATACATATACACACACACTTGTTTAAACCAGGTATTCATATTAGGTTTTTTAACATTTTGAAGTACCAAAAAATAGTTAATCTTAGTCAACGTTTAAATGTCGATTCATTCGAAAAAGATAAGTCTTAATTAAGAGATATTACCATTTGCTTTCATTTATTGATTTATCTAAAAAAAACTTAAATAATTACTAGAACATCTAAATTTTTGAGAAATTTCAAGTATAACAACGAAGTTTTTTTTAACCCAAAAAATCTATTCATTAAGACAATCAATAGGTATTATCTTCAATATGTTGAACAAATAGTGCACGTTGAATTTTCTTTTCCAATTTGTTATATCGTTTGAAAAAATAAAAAATAAAGATATGATAAAGACTAAATTGCTTTCGATTTTTTTTCACATAATTGTTTTCTCTTTGAAGCATCTAAAGTAACTGTTGTTTGATCAGTTGTTTTACTTAATGCAAGTTTAATTCCATCATACCATTCAAAACGAGAATTCGATATTACTGCTTGATTATTATCATTTTGAGCAGCAGTTATCGGACAAACTTGATGCCAATAGTTTAAGGCTTGTTATACGTCGGGATCTCAAAGAATTCAAGTAACATTTCTATACTAGAAATTAGACACTTATTCGTGCATTTATTAATCAAAATTTAACTTTCAATTGATAAAATCATAGATAGCCAGTCAAAACTTTTCTGATGTAAATATTTGTTTCAGACTAGAATTTCAACCAGTTATGAGGCTTGCAGTATTGGCATCAAGTTTCATCAATAGCTTCTATTCACCAATAGCTATTGATCTCTAATTTATGGAAAAATCTTCTAGACTAGGAAAAATTCTTCAAAAGAAATTTCAGAAAAAACGGTTGAAATCTGTTTGAATTAGAGTTCATTTATCTATAGGCACTGATATGCTTTTGGTAAATGATTGTCATTTACAGTAGAGACTAGATATCCAGCTAACGAAGCAAAATGCTTGAATGATAGAGATTTAAGTGTCCTAAGGTCAAAATGTACTCCTCGACATATACTTGTTATATCTTTATCTACTTGATTTTTTCGACTGCTTCACCACAACTTTTACGATGAAAAATAATCATTATAATGCTATTTTCTTTTTGTTTAAAAGAAATTAAATTCTTGAGTCAGAAGCATAACTTCGATAATGTTATTGTTAGTACTTATTATGATGAAAACATATTCTGCTCTTGAATAACCTATGATTAATCAATGAATCCTTGTAATCAAAAAATAAAATCATTTATATCTGTTTTTCTTCTAATGTAATGCAAACAATAGTTGATAGACCAAGAAAGTTAGTTGGATCTTATTCTAAATAAATAAAAATTGTGTAGAATCAATAATATCAATCACTCAGAAATTCTTTAATGTCAAAAAATGACTGTAAGTATGAGAAAGATAGATATGTAACACATAGCATTATCTTTTGTCGAAATGAACTGAAAGAGGAAACTCATCCATCTAATAAGTTGCTTTTACAGTGTTTTTTAAATGAATGTCATGTAGAGTCCTACAATTCGATCCGACCCTCAGGTGGGTGTGGGTTGAACTATGAAAAGTGTCAGATTCATTTTCCTAAGACAGGCTACCGCTCTCTAGCTATATATTTTTTATGTTATCTATATAATACCGTAGGTATGGATTGAACAATTCTGAACAATTTCAGTATTAACGTAAACTGTAAAACTCCAGCTGCTGTTATACCGAATGATACTAAGCAATTATAATAACGTTATTTTATTTTGTCATCAAAAACTTCAAAAATATGAACCAATAACATGCGATTCAATAGAGATGAGATAAGAGTCGATTGTTATGCTCTTCTGGTAGGCATGTTCTTTGCAAACAGTATAGACTTGAATAATTGCTATGCTTTCCAACTTTCGTAGCAGCACTTTTGAATCATGTAATGGAACTATTGTCATAAAGGTCTGTCCTAATGCAAAGCTTCAATTCGAAATTCGAAAATCAGTTTTTCCGTAGCATGGCATTTATTTAACAAAGCCTAGAATAAAAGTGCAGTCTCTCTGCAGCAATAAGAAGATACAGATATGAACTTATTTCGGTCTACATAATGCACATAGTTTCGATTCAAAAGCGATTTATTACTTCGAAGGCTTCCTTCGTGAGGCTTGCTTAAGGTCACTACTAACTATCATGTCTGTAAACAATACATTCAAGAAAAAAACGTTAGAACAGATTGTATCTCTTCTTTTGATCAATCTGAATAGTTACGATAAAACGAAGAGAAGATCACTTGGTAGGTATAAGACAAAAAACTTTTGTCTGTATCCGAATGCTTATATTAAACCGAACTAGAATTTCAGACCGACGTTATAAAATACCTCAATATTATATGACGGTTGAATTGAAAAATTATTTCAACAGTTGTTCATCTATTTCCAATCACTATTCATGTACACTATATTTATTGCACTGATTGATCTCTTCGTAAGTTGTTTAATGAAAATCATTTTGTAAAAATAAAACATGTTTCCTCTCTTTCAATTGGTATTTATCGTGCTGAAAAATATACTAGCACTGATATGTTTGAAATGCAAAATGATCTTCGGTACTGTCCAATGTGTATTCATGTTGCCTCTAATCAACACCAAAACTGCCCCTAGTCACCATGTAATATAAATAATGGTGGTTGTAGTTATATATGTAAAACATCAGCTGGTAATCAAGTTGAATATGTTTGTCCAAGTGGACAACAATTAAAATTAGCTAATGATCGACGAATGTGTGTTTGTAAGTAAAATTGGAAACAAGAAAAAAAAGAAAATCAACAAAGAAAAAATATTCGTTTATTTATTTTTAGCACTATTATCATCATGTACTTCAGTTAATTTTACTTGTCGCAATAGCCAATATCTTTCAAGATGAAAAGTTTGTGATCGTCAATGAGATTGCTGAGAATGCATTTCTTTACCATTGCTTTACTTAATCCTTCAAATATATAATGAGGAAATGGTTCATATATTATAACGAGAAGTTATTGATGTACGGTCTCTGATCGTATAACAACAATATCTGTCGTAGTCTCGTATTTCAGAAAAAAGAAGATGAATTTCCTTTTGAAAATTTTTGTTTAATATAGATTGTAATGATGAAGTCGGTTGTTCATCTCGTATTTACAACGGAATAAGTAGTAAGAAATGTGCACATAATAATATTTCTATTCATAGAACTTATTTATGTGGTATGTAAAACACGACGAAAATGAATTTTATTGTAATTACGTTTCTTTTATTTTTAATCGACTTCCGCTGCGAGATATGATACTACCAACGACAAAAGTCTTGAGAATCGTATTTTTGATGTAACTTTTGATAGAGATAAGATATAGAGTTGGGATTTTCACCGTTGGAAAGAGGAGATGAAGACGCATCGAACCATATATGACAGATTTTTCTAATATGTTTTCAGTCGCTTTTCAAATCAATTTTCTTAAAAAAGGTAGCAGAAAAATCGCTTTTATCAAAAAGAAAACAGGACAAAACTGATTTTTTTTTTCGCAGGAATTGCTGGAAAACCGGTTTAGCGTTTCGAGTAGAATACCTATAACTCCTGAACGATTGAAGCTAAACATCTGAGCGTTGTGCAGTTTTATAGAACTTCAATTGGCGGTTTCAATGCACACTAGATGATTAAAAATTCACCGTAGTCTCCTATCGAATACGTTGTTTTTCTTAAAGCTGAATTGAAAAACCTTAACAGAACCAGATCAAAAAGTCTGTAACGTACACTTCCATGCATTTTCATCTCCTCTTTCCAACGGTGAAAACCGCAACTCTCTGTCTTATCTCTATCAAAAGTTGCACCGAAAATACGATTCTCAAGACTTTTGTCGTTGGTAGATAGATGATGATAATGATTGTGGTGATGAAAGTCCGACTTTTCTGTCATAGTATTCAATGCAATATAAGCAAATTGATATGAAAATTTTATTTGTATAAATTTATTTATTTTAAACCTAGCAGAATTTCGATGTAGAAATCGTCGCGCTATACCATATTCTTGGGTATATGATGGTCAACGAGATTGGTATCAATGGTACTGATGAACCAGCTGACTGTCTTTCATCAAATCGAGCATGTCCAACTGGTCTTTGGGAATGTGATAATGATCTTTAGTGTACCAAGTTTTTATGCTTGTGGTAACTATTATTCTATTAAAATGATTCCATAATGTAATTTATTTATTTATTTAACATTCGAATCATGACAATGATTGTGATTTGTTTATTTTATCTTCTATTTAAGGAGATGGATTATATGAAGTTGCTTGATGTGGTAAGAATTATTTTATTTTTACTTCATTTTATTTTTTATTTTTACGAAGCATCACCATATGGAAAAATTGTACTAATGTAGAATATCAATGTGAAAACAGCCGATGTGTAATAAAATCAGCAGCATACAATGAATAATACATAATAGTTAATAGATTTTATTTTTTCTTTAGTAATGATTGTAATGATAATTAAGATGAAAAACGATCATTCTGTCAAGCACAACAATGTCCATCGGACATACTTTCAATGTCGAAATAAAAAATGTATACGATATGAAGTTGTTTGTAATAGTGTAAGATATTGTACTGATGGAAGTGATGAAGCACCTAGTTGTGGTAAGAATTTCAAAAAAAAAAAAATCTTGATAATTTCCAGTGGTGATGAACATGATTGTCTTAATTCATTAACTTCTTTTCGATATAAATGTTGTACGGGTTATAAATTAGCATCAAATCAGAAAAATTGTGGGGATGAGATATTTATATATCTAGAATCTTTCGATTTAAAAACAATATTTTCAATACTTTATCATGAGAGCAGTTAGAATTGTTTTACTAAATTTTCGACCCAGCTTTTGCATACATATCGGAAAACACACAATGCTTTACTTTGTCCGAATATTCAATTTTCAAGTTAACTTGATATTTGCATGGTGCCTGTGTCAACGATTATTTTTTGAAAATCCAACATCTCAACAAAAGAACACGCGTTTCGACGGTGTGGGTGTGGGTATAGACCTGTTTTCATGTTCCGCACTCAAGCCTACACCCTCATTCTTCCATTTGAAGCAATGCTTTTGCATATGTATAGTTTGGATAGAAAAGAGTTACTGGCTATCAATATTGACGAGAACAACATAGTATTGGTACTCTTTTTCTTTCGATATGAATAAATAATTATCATTTGAGGATGAATGAGTGTGGATGAAATCTATTTTGATTGATTATCATGATGACTGGAAGATTATTTTTTTAGATTCGTTGTAAACTTGAAAAGATTATGACTAGTTCATCTTCGATAGTTTTTTTCGACCTTCATGAAGCTCTTCAAGAAGTAGACATCATGAACAAAAAAAATATTTTATCATGAAATAAATAGCTTTGATCAAAATTCTTACATTATAAAGGCAACTGAAGAATAATACTGTATATAATAAAATTATAGGCTCGTGTTTAGACTATCAGTCTATAACATCCTATATAGTCTCTAGTATATTGAAAAAAAAAGATTCTCTTCAAATCTATTACCTTCTTTGATGCGTGAATAAAACAGTACAACTTTTGATGAGTAAAAGAAGAAAATTCGCAAAAGCCTTCATAAATGTGGTGCGCTGTTGAAAGATGGAGGTCAAATCGTCAAAATTACCGTTTCGCGAAACTTACTGAAGTCATATAGATCAATTCTACACGTGGAGAAAAAGTATGTATCTAAGTCGAATCGGAATACTCACTGAAAAAAGAAATAGATGTTTGTATCTTTTATAAACACTTATAAAATTCACTGTTATATAGAAAAACGACTAGACGGGCTTTTGTAAATGTATGTCTGAGTTTTCTGTTCATCAATGACAAATGTATGAATTTAGAGTGTATAATACAATCATTTCTCGATATGTTAGAATTTTATTCTATAACAAAAGCAATGTGATAATCTATCCTATTTCTACTATATCGCCTTGAGAAGAGTTATGCATTGCCTTTAATTAGCTTGACTATAAACGAAATACCCTATTAAAGGTTTGTTGAGCATTTATCTATTCTTCGAAATCTATAAACAAAAAACATCATTGAACTCGAAAGGAAGAAGCTGAAGAGGTTCCCACGAATTATTAAAAAGAAAAAAAACATATCACTTCTGTATTAAGCTTATAAATGTTCTATGAAATGTCTTAGATTAGACTCACGAGAGACAGATAAAAAATTTAATTAAATATGTTTATACATTTTGTTTTTACTAAAGTTTGTTTTCAAAAATATTACAACGATGAGAAAAGAAAAATATTTGTATGTCTATCAGATAGATGTATTTATTTCATTACAGATTTAATAATGTTAAAAGAGGATTAAATCAAATCCCTGTCATAAACAAATAATAATATTATATTATATATAGATCATATTTTTTTTTCTAAATTCATATCATATCACCTGTAGAAAATTTCTTTTTTCTGATGATCTAATATTTCGCACCCATGCTGTGTATATTTCGTGTATATTCGCACCTTGTCAGTCATCATTGTAAAAAACATAATGTGTCAATATTGTTCACTTCTCTATCATATCAATAGCATAACAGAAATAATTCAATGAATTATTCCTATTGACTTATAATAGAGTGTTAATGTATAAGTAAAATTCAATTGAAAAAGAAAGAGATAGATAGGTAACATACGTATAATGTATGCGACTTAATGTATTCGTTTAGGTCAATTGACAACGAAGAAGAGAAAGAACAGAAAACGCGATAGCAATCATCACTTTTTTTTTTTTTTTCATCAACCGACTTGATTGGTGTATGTGTGTGTGTGTATGTCTGCGTGAGTCCTGCTGAGAGTGATAGAAAAAAAAAGAGATTGCACCAGCCGGTCTATGAATACACTCATAAGAAAAAGAGAGCGAGAGAGAGAGAGCAAAAAAAAAAAAAAGAAAAAGAAATTATTATTGAATAAGACATATGAAACACAATACACACACATATTTAGTTATATTTATATATATATATATAAACACATATATTCATGCTGATATGTCTGTATCGGTTGAACCGTCTGACTTGGAATCTGGACTACAAATGTCTTCATTTCCATCTAAACTCGATTTATGTCGTTTAATTAAACATGGTTGTTCAGGTGCTAATAGACTATCAACATCAAAACAACGTTTTCGTTTATTTTCTGTTGTTGATAATGGACGTAATGGTGTTGAAGTTGTTGTCGATGTTATTATTGGATTTCGACTTGTATTAAGAGATTGTGGAGGAGATGGAAAGAATAATTGTGAATGATGTATTTGCTGTTGTTGTTGTTGTTGTTGTTGTTCTAATCGAGATGCAACAACACGTTGCATGTCATCAAAATAACGTTGAAGAAGATTTTGTGTCACACCTGTACTGTTTGTCGTTGTTGTTGTTGTTGTTGATGATGACGATGATGATGAAAGTGATAAATCAGTTACATTAGGCCGTAATTCATCTGATGGATATTTTGATAGAGGACTAAAGAACAAGAAAAAGAAAGCCATCAATCAATTAAGTGCTTTTTTTTTCTGAGAGTTGCATCGTACAAAATTTTTAAAATAAAGAATTTATTTTCTATTAACTTACTGTTCAAAATGATGTTCTGTACCATTCGATGGTAAAATTTCATCATCATCTTCTTCATCATCTGGTACTGATAATCCCATACTTTTTCTAACACGTCGTTGTGCTCGACGTCTTCGAAAATCTCCACTACTAAAATCAGCTAAATTAGCTGGATGAATACTCCAATAATGACCTTTTCCATTAGCTGAACGACCAGCTTTAATAAAACAATCATTTAATGATAGATTATGTCTTATAGAATTACGCCAACCAGGACCTCGTGCACGAAAATAAGCATAATGATCTAATATCCATTGATATATATCCGAAAGAACAAGTTTTCGTTCCGGTGAACTTAATATTGCCATTGCAATAAGTCCAATATATGAATAGGACGGTTTAGGTTCTTCACGTAGAAGACAACGTAATCTTGGATCATGTCGTTGATGAAAAGCATATAAAGCATGTGGATCATTAAATGAAGGATGATGTGAACCAGGTCCTGATGATAATATTGTTGGTCCCGATGGTGGTGGTGGTGGAACTCCACCAAATCGAAGACGTACAGCATAATCATATAATTGTTGTTGAGCGGCAAGTAACATTGGATAATTTGGATGATGAGATAATGATGATGATGATGATGGTGGTGGTAATGATGGTTGTGGAAGTGATAGATCTCCATTGGCTATTGGTTCTTTCTGCATGGCACTGATGACCACAGGGGAATTATTTATATGTATGTATGCCGTTGTCGTTCCGCTCGTTTTCTCACAAACAACTTGTTGCTCTATGATTGGTCTCTCTGTTTGCAAAAAAAACCAGTTTGCTCCGTTTTTCGCCCTCCTAACTAATTCATCTTTCTCTCGTTTCTCTTTCTCTTTTCTTCATCATCGTCATTCTTGTTTCTCCTTCTTCTCCTAAGAGAGACAGAGAGAGAGAGAGAGAGAAAACGCAAAATATTTGTGTGTCGTTTGCTTCACAACAAACAGCACGCACCGAACGAGTCGGAGTGGTGGTGCTATATCGGACAACATTATTTTGATCTATTCATAATGAATGGCTGTAGAACGAGAAAAGAAATGTCATATATGCAAACGTATTTTGATTGGTTAATATAATGCGAGAAGAGAAAATTAGACTGAATAAATCCTCATTGGGTAACAAGAAAGAAAAGAACAGAAGAAGAAAAAAAAGAAACAAACAGAAATATTTGTGCTTTTTTCAAGTCAATTAATTCTTATTTATAATAAGAATAAAAAAGTTTCAATACAAATAAAACAGTAAAATTTGATTGGTTAGTAGATAAAACTTTTATGTTGAAGAAAAAAAAAAAAAAAGAACTCCGCCTAATCTCCTGTTGTGTATGTGTATAAGATTAATTGTACCATTTAACTATTCATTTCAAATGGTATAATTATATTTAAATATAAAATTGTTTCAATCTATATGTTGATATGTTAGTT